AGGGGAGAAAGAGAAAATAAAGGCCAGCATCGATCATTTTCTCTGTGGGGCTTTGAGGTAATTGAGCCATTTGGATAAAAATAAGGCAGCAGGGCCCTTAAGGTAAAAGGAGTTTTTGCAATCCAAGAAGGCTTGAATTATGTGTCTTGTATCACTGCAGGCCCCCCGCATCCCTCTTGCACACCCCCCAGTTCTGTGACAAGCCTCTCTCCACTTTTCTTCTTGTATTTTTTTACGTATCCTGTCAAGTGCCATCTGATAAGTACAGAATTTCAGCTGTCACAACTAATTCTGACTCTCCAGATTGCGTGTGTGTGCATTAGAAAAGGTGTGTGTGCTCTTTTCAGGAGGAGAGAAAGAGGCTCTCTTTCATCTTCCTGCGTGCGTGTGTGCGTTTTAATTTCAGAAGAAAGATTTACATCGGAAATTTGTTTCTGGGAGTGTTTAAGGACTGTAATTTCCTCCTCTTCAATTGCCATTTGATGCCGCTGATTCCCTTAGCTTCCCACTCACCCCCTGCTGCCCAACTCTGATCTGCCGCCTCCCCCCCAATCCCTAACAATCCCCCCCCCCTTGACTTTAGGCTCTCCGCTGCCTGGTGGATCCATCCACATCCGCCAGACTTGGGAGTTGGCGAGAGCTCCCACCAGCCAGGTCGCCTTGGGTGCAGATGCTGAGGCTCACCTGGCCTGCAAAAGGCTGGGGGTAGGCAGGCGGGACCAGAACTGGCTTCCAACTGAAGGTGTCCCTCGCTTGAGGTTCACCATCAATCTGCAGCCAGCAGTAGGTGGTGAATGACAATTCCTAAAAAACAATGCATGCTGCAGCTACAAGAAAAGCAGCGTAAACTCAATACAAACACTTGAAATGATGTAAAAACCATTAGTGGAATTAATATATTCAATAAACCAAATCCCTGCAGACTCGAAGCCATTTAATGCATCGGCAGAGGGCAGTCTTAACCTAGTGCCATAAAGGAACAGAGCAGATCTCGGAGAATGTGTCCAGCATTTGGGGGCTGTCCCTGAGAAAGCCCTGTATCATCTGAGTTGCCCCTTTCCCAGCTCTCCCATATTCTGTTTTAAGTATGACAACCATACAATATTCAAAGTGCAGTCACAACATAGATTTGTTCAAGGGCAGTCTGATCTGGGCACTTTTATTTTGCAAATTATGCCTAACAGATTCTTTTAAAAAGTAAAAATACCCAATTGCTCTGTGAACTCACAGCACCTACAATCTGCAGAGGACACTAAAGAAAATTCTAGAGAAGCGCATCTTGTTGGGAGTTGTTGGAAGACGGTAACTTCTGAACTGCCACCAACTGCTTTATTTTGATCTTCCTTACTATGGAAGTAGGAGAAGCTGCAGATGAAAAACAATAGAGAGATCTGGGATCTTTGCATATCTGTGACGGGGATATTCACTTTTTTTTTTCTTTTTCTGTGTTGCATGGCAGTGCACAACAAATTAAAGCGAATTACGATAACATGTTACAAATCCTAACATTAGAATCTAAAACACATTGCCATTTCTAAAAACAAGAAAACAACGTTAAACAGAGTAAAACAAGAAAAAGAAAAATCTAAACCAATAACAAACAGAACAAATAGTTATAAAGTGCTTTACCAATTTCAATTAGCAAAATACATACAGAATATGAATCTTATTAACAGAAATTTGGGATTAAAAGGGGGAGCTTGAAACCTTGCTTAAAAGATATCAGGGTGGGATCCATACCTACCTGCCTGGGGAGAAAAAGTGAAAGGCAAGGACCACCACTGAAAAGAGCCAAATAGTATTTGCTTCTTTACTGCAAGGAAGTTTTGGATTCAAATAAAAACAGGCATTCAGGAGATGACTGCATGGGAATTAACGCTCAAAGCAACAATGGCGCTTTTAGGAATTAATGGAAGCTGCTTATCCTCTGCTCATTCGCACGGTAAGAAGGCTACACCTCCAAGCATTTCCAAGCCAGGTTATTCTGGTAGGGCCAGCCTGGGAGTCTGGAGGCTGTTTTGTGTCTAAAAGGACATAGGGACAAACCTTAGGTGTACCTCAAACATGCATTAATAGGGGATCTTATACTAACAGTTGCTAAGTTGCTTCTAGCCAAGGAACACACACATAACCAAGGAAAACTTCTAAAGGCTTTCCTGAGGAGGCACTGGACATGTAAGGTCTGGTAAATGAACTGAATTAATAGGCAGCATGATCGGACATGTTTGTAAAATAATTTGCTTGCTTGCAGGGAGACCTAGCCTCAGCCTATCTCTGTCCAGAACAGGGAAATCACATCTCTTGGGTTAGCTTTCTCAGTCCTTGCCTAGAAGGCTGAAAACAAGACGTGGGGTTTGCTTCTACAGACATTCAAACAGGTGTCTGGAAGCTATCGGCTGCTTCTCCAGGTAGCAAGCTGCCCGTGGCGAGTCCGGTGCTGGAGATCTTCCTCTGCAACACTCGTCACAAAAAACAGCAGTGAGCGGGTGATAAGAGTGTGAACCTGACCCCTGTCTCAGCCTAGCCTACCTCACAGGGTTGTTGTGAGGCTAAAAATAAGCACCAATCCCTTTTTGCACTGGGAAGCAATGTGAAAGCGACAGGCAAACAGTAATGGAAATAAAGAACGTGCTAGCAACAAAAACGGTCTGGGGGTCAGCCAGGGACAAATTTGCACACGCTAATTTCCATGGGCTCTGAGGTTTATCTGTGTGTGCCACTTCAAAGGATCCTATTTCCTAAAAAAGGAAATCTATAAAAAACGATAGGAGAGAAGAGGGCATTTCAGACAAAATACTTTGAGAAGATTCAGCTCTGCCTCCACCGGTGATGCACGCTTTCAGCCTTCAGCTACAAAATCCTAGGAATAAAGTGTTTTACTTCAGATACCGCCAATGATCAGCTCACATTTTGTAATAGAAAAATTATTTTGCAGGTGTGGATTGCCAAGAACCCCAAATAGTGTCTTACTTGCTTATGTGTGTTTTGCTACTGAACCCTGAAGTTTTATCTCGAAGTAGCTGTTCCCCACCTTGAGTGCAATTTTTTTTAGTGGAAAAGGACTTTGGTTTTCCTGCAGGACTGCAGCTTTTTCTTCGTCTGAACAAGCATAGGATTACACCTTCATTTTTTTCCTGCTTAACGTTCATTTATTTTATGCTCTTCATACCCCACCCGTATCCTCTTAGCAACTCAAGGCAGCTTACACAGTCCTCCTCCTCTGCAGGTTATCTCACAACAACCCTGCGAGGTAGGCTGGGTTGAAAAGCAGGGTCTGGCCTTGAATCGCCCAGAGAGCACTAGATCCCGCGATGGCCGCCCGGCCCGACATTCGGACGCTCTCTACAGGCAGCAGAGCCTCCTTTTCTTTTAACATGGAGGGAGGGAGGCCCGCGCCAGGCTCCGCCACACGCCCGTGCGCTCAAACGCAGCGCAGCGGGAGGGAACGCAGAGCGCAGGCGAGCCAGGAGGCCCCGCCCCTCGCCCCGCCCCCTTGGCCTTCTTAGGCAGCCACGCGGAGCCGCCCGCGCCACGTGACGGCGGCGCGTCTCCTCCGGAAGCCGCGGCGCCCCGCCACGCCGTGACGTCACGCGCAGAGCCTCGCGCCTTTCGCCTGGGACGCGGCGGGCCTCCTGCTCGCGCGCGCCCTCCCCCCTCCCCGTTCTCCTTCCGTTTTCCGGCGGAAGCGAGGGAGGGATTTCCTTTTCCGGGTACGGGTCCCCAGGCGGAGAGGAGCGAGCGGGCGAGCGAGAGAGAGAGAG